GCTTCAAAAGGTGATGATGCCTGTCTCCTCTTGAATATTGATAGGAATCCAAAAATCCCTGTGGCTACTGGAAAGGGTCCTTGGGAGCCCTTCCTCACCTCGAGAAGCGTCCCTTTTGCCCTGCCAAGCCTCGAAGAGCTTCCTGAGTTGTCCCACGTTACTAGACAGGAGTCCTGATGTCACTGAATAAACATGTGATTTGAAGGGCCATCCCCGCCCTAACTCGAGAACATACCGCATATCCCCGCCGCAACTCGAGAAAAACCATGAGACTTCCCCATAGATGCGAGATGAGGCTCGATTCCCCTGCAGTGCATGCAGAGCAATTCCGTGATGCGCATCAAACAAGTCTGGATATTCGAATTCCTTAATGGATTTCCAGAGAGTCCCCAAGAACACTGTCACAAGTCTAGATGGACCCTGAGGTTACCACAGCAACGCAAAGTAGCTCCATGTGCCACAAATCAACTCGAGGTGAGGCCCGATTCCAGTGCATTGACTCCAGAGCTAACCCCCGTTCCCCATTCAACACGACCAGTGGCTTGACTCCCTTCAGGCACCTCCAGAGGTGCCCCGAGAACACTGTCCCAAGTCTAGAGGAACACCATCTTCAGCACAGCAACTCGTGGAATGCTCCATGTACCCCAAATCGTCTCGAGATGAGAGCTGATTCCCTGGCTTAGCCTCAAGACGTATGCCAACTTTCCAGAAGCACCTCAAGGGGAGGCTTCTTTAAGCAAAAGGTATGTGGTAGGGACCCCGAGTTTGCTGCCTCAAGTGGGATATACAGCGAGAAGCCCTAACTTGAAAGGAGGCAGGGTTTCCTTGAAGTGGCTTGAATAAGGCTCGTCTTTCATCTCCCAACATGAAGGTATGTCTGAATCCCCTGTGGAGAACTTAGAGAAAGCCCTAGGTCCCTGCCTCATTATGACGGAATGCCTCACATCAAGTTGACACCTCGAGAGGCACGCAGAGTTCACTGCTTCCAAAGGTGACGATGCCTGACTTCTCTAGAATATTGATAGGAATCCCAAAATCCCTGTGGCTACTGGAAAAGGTCCTTTGGTGCACTTCCTCACTTCGAGAAGAGTCCCTTGTGCCCTGCAAACCCTCAAAGAGATTCCTGAGGTGTCCCACGTTACTAGACAGCAGTCCTGACATCACTGAATAAACATGTGTTTTGAAAGGCCATCCCCGCCGTAACTCGAGAACATACCGCATATCCCCGCCGCAACTCGAGAAAAACCATGAGACTTCCCCCTAGATGCGAGATGAGGCCCGATTCCCCTGCAGTGCATGCAGAGCAATTCCGTGATCCCCATCAATCAATTCAGGAGCTTCGACTTGCTTAATGGATCTCGAGACAGTCCCCAAGACACTGTCACAAGTGTAGACTTACCCTGAGGTCACCCCTGCAACGCAAAGCAGCTCCATGTGCCCCAAATCAACTGGAGATGAGGCCCGATTCCCCTGCGTTGACCTCAGAGCCTTCACCCGTTCCTCATTAAAAAGACCAGTGGCTTGACTTCCTTTAGGCAACTCCAGAGATGCCCCGAGAACACTGTCCCAAGTCTCGAGGAACACCAACCTCAGCACAGCAACTCGAGGAATGCTACGTGTACCTCAAATCTTCTCGAGATCAAAGCTGATTCCCTGGCTTAGGCTCAAGACGTATGCCAACTTTCCGGAAGCACCTCAAGTGGAGGCTGCTCTCAGCAATAGGTATGTGGGAGGGACCCCGAGTTTGCTGCCTCAAGTGGAATAAACAGCGAGAAGCCCTAATTAGAAAGGAGGCTGGATTTTTTTGCAGTGGCTTGAATACAGGTTCGTCTTTCATCTCACAACATGAAGGGATGTCTGAATCTCCTGTGGAGACCTTAGAGAAAGCCCTAGGTCCCTGCCTCATTTTGACGGAATGCCTCACATCCCGTTGACACCTCGAGAGGCACGCGGAGTTCACTGCTTCAAAAGGTGACGAAGGCTGACTATTCTTGAACATTGATAGGAATCCCAAAATCCCTGTGGCTACTTGAAAGGGTCCTTGGGTGCCCTGTCTTTCCTCGAGAAGCGTGCCTTGTGGCCTGCCAAGCCTCGAAGAGATCCCTTACGTGTCCCTCCTTACTAGACAGGAGTCCTGACGTCACTGAATAAACTCGTGTTTGAAGGGCCATCCCCACCGTAACTCGTGAACATACCCCAGTTCCCCGCCGCAACTCGAGAAAAACCATGAGACTTCCCCCTAGATGCGAGTGGAGTCCGATTCTCCTGCAGTGCATGCAGAGCAATTCCGTGATCCCCATCAAACAAGTCATGAGATTCAACTTGCTTAATGGATCTCAACAGAGTCCCGAAGAACACTGTCACAAATCTAGACGGACCCTGAGGTCACCCCAACAACGCAAAGCAGCTCCATGTGCCACAAATCAACTGGAGATGAGGCCCAATTCCCCTGCGTTGACTCCAGAGCTATTCCCCGTTCCCCATTAAACACGACCAGTGGCTTGACTTCCTTCAGGCACCTCCAAACATGCCCCGAGAACACTGTCCCAAGTCTAGAGGAACACCAACTTCAGCACAGCATCTCGAAGAATGCTCCATGTACCCCAAATGGTCTCGAGATGAGAGCTGATTCCCTGGCTTAAGCTCAAGACGTATGCCAACTTTCCAGAAGCACCTCAAGGGGAGGCTTCTTTAAGCAATAGGTATGTGGTAGGGACCCCGAGTTTGCTGCCTAAAATGGGATATACAGCGAGAAGCCCTAACTTGAAAGGAGGCCGGGTTTCCTTGCAGTGGTTTGAATACAGGCTCGTCTTTCATCTCCCAACATGAAGGGATGTCTGAATACCCTGCGGAGACCTTACAGATAGCCCTAGGTCCCTGCCTCATTATGACGGAATGCCTCACATCAAGTTGACACCTCGGGAGGCACGCAGAGTTCACTGCTTCAAAAGGTGATGATGCCTGTCTCCTCTTGAATATTGATAGGAATCCAAAAATCCCTGTGGCTACTGGAAAGGGTCCTTGGGAGCACTTCCTCACCTCGAGAAGCATCCCTTTTGCCCTGCCAAGCCTCGAAGAGCTTCCTGAGTTGTCCCACGTTACTAGACAGGAGTCCTGATGTCACTGAATAAACATGTGATTTGAAGGGCCATCCCCGCCCTAACTCGAGAACATACCGCATATCCCCGCCGCAACTCGAGAAAAACCATGAGACTTCCCCATAGATGCGAGATGAGGCTCGATTCCCCTGCAGTGCATGCAGAGCAATTCCGTGATGCGCATCAAACAAGTCTGGATATTCGAATTCCTTAATGGATTTCCAGAGAGTCCCCAAGAACACTGTCACAAGTCTAGATGGACCCTGAGGTTACCACAGCAACGCAAAGTAGCTCCATGTGCCACAAATCAACTCGAGGTGAGGCCCGATTCCACTGCATTGACTCCAGAGCTAACCCCCGTTCCCCATTCAACACGACCAGTGGCTTGACTCCCTTCAGGCACCTCCAGAGATGCCCCGAGAACACTGTCCCAAGTCTAGAGGAACACCATCTTCAGCACAGCAACTCGTGGAATGCTCCATGTACCCCAAATCGTCTCGAGATGAGAGCTGATTCCCTGGCTTAGCCTCAAGATGTATGCCAACTTTCCAGAAGCACCTCAAGGGGAGGCTTCTTTAAGCAAAAGGTATGTGGTAGGGACCCCGAGTTTGCTGCCTCAAGTGGGATATACAGCGAGAAGCACTAACTTGAAAGGAGGCAGGGTTTCCTTGAAGTGGCTTGAATAAGGCTCGTCTTTCATCTCCCAACATGAAGGTATGTCTGAATCCCCTGTGGAGAACTTAGAGAAAGCCCTAGGTCCCTGCCTCATTATGACGGAATGCCTCACATCAAGTTGACACCTCGAGAGGCACGCAGAGTTCACTGCTTCCAAAGGTGACGATGCCTGACTCCTCTAGAATATTGATAGGAATCCCAAAATCCCTGTGGCTACTGGAAAAGGTCCTTTGGTGCACTTCCTCACTTCGAGAAGAGTCCCTTGTGCCCTGCAAACCCTCAAAGAGATTCCTGAGGTGTCCCACGTTACTAGACAGGAGTCCTGACATCACTGAATAAACATGTGTTTTGAAAGGCCATCCCCGCCGTAACTCGAGAACATACCGCATATCCCCGCCGCAACTCGAGAAAAACCATGAGACTTCCCCCTAGATGCGAGATGAGGCCCGATTCCCCTGTAGTGCAGGCAGAGCAATTCCGTGATCACCATCAAACAAGTCAGGAGATTCGAATTCATTAATGGATTTCGAGACAGTCCCCAAGAACACTGTAACAAGTCTAGACGGACACTGAGGTCACCCCTGAAATGCAAAGCAGCTCCATGTGCCCCAAATCAACTCGAGATGAGGCCCGATTCCCTTGCATTGACTCCAGAGCCATCCCCCGTTCCCCATAAAAAACGACCAGTGGCTTGACTTCCTTCAGGCAACTCCCGAGATGCCCCGAGAACACTGTCCCAAGTCTAGAGGAACACCAACTTCAGCACAGCAACTCGAAGAATGCAACATGCACCCCAAATCGTCTCGAGTTCAGAGCTGATTCCCTGGCTTAGGCTCAAGACGTATGCCAACTTTCCAGAAGCACCTCAGGAGGAGGCTTCTCTCAGCAATAGGTATGTGGGAGGGACCCCGAGTTTGCTGCCCCAAGTGGGATATACAGCGAGAAGCCGTAACATGAATGGAGGCCGGGTTTCCTTGCAGTGGCTTGAATACAGCTCGTCTTTCATCGCCCAATATGAAGGGATGTCTGAATCCCCTGTGGAGACCTTAGAGAAAGCCCTAGGTACCTGCCTCATTATGACGGAATGCCTCACATTCCGTTGACACCTCGAGAGGCACGCGGAGTTCACTGCTTCAAAAGGTAACGTAGCCTGACTCATGGTGAATATTGGTAGAAATCCCAAAATCTCTGTGGCTACTGGGAAAGGCCCTTGGGTGCACTGCTCACCTCGAGAAGCATCCCTCGTGCCCTGCCAGTCCTCGAAGAGATTACTGAGGTGTCCCTCGTTACTAGACAGGAGTCCTGACGTCACTGAATAAACACGAGTTTTGAAGGGCAATCCCCGCCGTAACTCGAGAACATACCGCAGGTCCCCGCCGCAAATCGAAAAAAAACATGAGACTTCCCCCTAGATGTGAGATGAGGCCCGATTCCCCTGCAGTGCACGCAGAGCAATTCCGTGATCCCCACCAATCAATTCAGGAGCTTCGACTTGCTTAATGGATCTCGAGACAGTCCCCAAGACACTGTCACAAGTGTAGACTTACCCTGAGGTCACCCCTGCAACGCAAAGCAGCTCCATGTGCCCCAAATCAACTGGAGATGAGGCCCGATTCCCCTGCGTTGACCCCAGAGCCTTCCCCCGTTCCTCATTAAAAAGACCAGTGGCTTGACTTCCTTTAGGCAACTCCAGAGATGCCCCGAGAACACTGTCCCAAGTCTAGAGGAACACCAACCTCAGCACAGCAACTCGAGGAATGCTCCGTGTACCTCAAATCTTCTCGAGATCAAAGCTGATTCCCTGGCTTAGGCTCAAGACGTATGCCAACTTTCCGGAAGCACCTCAAGTGGAGGCTTCTCTCAGCAATAGGTATGTGGGAGGGACCCCGAGTTTGCTGCCTCAAGTGGAATAAACAGCGAGAAGCCCTAATTAGAAAGGAGGCTGGATTTTTTTGCAGTGGCTTGAATACAGGTTCGTCTTTCATCTCACAACATGAAGGGATGTCTGATTCTCCTGTGGAGACCTTAGAGAAAGCCCTAGGTCCCTGCCTCATTTTGACGGAATGCCTCACATCCCGTTGACACCTCGAGAGGCAAGCGGAGTTCACTGCTTCAAAAGGTGACGAAGGCTGACTATTCTTGAACATTGATAGGAATCCCAAAATCCCTGTGGCTACTTGAAAGGGTCCTTGGGTGCCCTGCCTTTCCTCGAGAAGCGTCCCATGTGGCCTGCCAAGCCTCGAAGAGATCCCTTACATGTCCCTCCTTACTAGACAGGAGTCCTGACGTCACTGAATAAACTCGTGTTTGAAGGGCCATCCCCACCGTAACTCGTGAACATAACCCAGTTCCCCGCCGCAACTCGAGAAAAACCATGAGACTTCCCCCTAGATGTGAGTGGAGTCCGATTCTCCTGCAGTGCATGCAGAGCAATTCCGTGATCCCCATCAAACAAGTCATGAGATTCAACTTGCTTAATGGATCTCAACAGAGTCCCGAAGAACACTGTCACAAGTCTAGACGGACCCTGAGGTCACCCCAACAACGCAAAGCAGCTCCATGTGCCACAAATCAACTCGAGATGAGGCCCAATTCCCCTGCGTTGACTCCAGAGCTATTCCCCGTTCCCCATTAAACACGACCAGTGGCTTGACTTCCTTCAGGCACCTCCAGACATGCCCCGAGAACACTGTCCCAAGTCTAGAGGAACACCAACTTCAGCACAGCAACTCGAAGAATGCCTCGTGTACCCCAAATCGTCTCGAGATGAGAGCTGATTCCCTGGGTTAGGCTCAAGACGTATGCCAACTTTCCAGAAGCACCTCAAGGGGAGGCTTCTCTCAGCAATATGTATGTGGGAGGGACCCCGAGTTTGCTGCCTCAAGTGGCATATACAGCGAGAAGCCCTAACTTGAAATGAGGCCGTGTTTCCTTGCAGTGGCTTGAATACAGGCTCGTCTATCATCTCACAACATGAAGGGATGTCTGAATCCCCTGAGGAGTTCTCAGAGAAAGCCCTAGGTCCCTGCCTCATTTTGACGGAAAGCCTCACATCCCGTTGACACCTCGAGAGGCACGCGGAGTTCACTGCTTCAAAAGGTGACGATGTCTGACTCCTCTTGAATATTGATAGGAATCCCCAAAAACACTGTGGCTACTGGAAAGGGTTCTTGGGTGGCCTGACTCACCTCGAAAAGTGTCCCTTGTGGCCTGCCAAGCCTTATGAGATTCCTGAGGTGTCCCTCGTTACTAGATAGGAGTCCTGACGTCACTGAATAAACACGTGTTTTGAAGGGCCATCCCCCCGTAACTCGATAATGTACCACAGGTCCCCACCGCAACTCGAGTAAAACCATGAGACTTCCCCCTAGATGCGAGATGAGGCACGATTCCCCTGCAGGGCATGCAGAGCAATTCCGTGATCCCCATCAAACAAGTCAGAAGCTTCGACTTGCTTAATGGATCTCGAGACAGTCCCCAAGAACACTGTCACAAGTCTAGACGGACCCTGAGGTCACCCCTGCAATGCAAAGCAGCTCCATGTGCCCCAAATCAACTCGAGATGAGGCCCGATTCCCCTGCGTTGACTCCGGAGCCATCCGCGGTTCCCCATTAAACACGACCAGTGGCTTGACTTCCTTCAGGCAACTCCAGAGATGCCCCGAGAACACTGTCCCAAGTCTAGAGGAACACCAACTTCAGCACAGCATCTCGAAGAATGCTCCATGTACCCCAAATGGTCTCGAGATGAGAGCTGATTCCCTGGCTTAAGCTCAAGACGTATGCCAACTTTCCAGAAGCACCTCAAGGGGAGGCTTCTTTAAGCAATAGGTATGTGGTAGGGACCCCGAGTTTGCTGCCTCAAGTGGGATATACAGCGAGAAGCCCTAACTTGAAAGGAGGCCGGGTTTCCTTGAAGTGGCTTGAATAAGGCTCGTCTTTCATCTCCCAACATGAAGGGATGTCTGAATCCCCTGTGGAGAACTTAGAGAAAGCCCTAGGTCCCTGCCTCATTATGACGGAATGCCTCACATCAAGTTGACACCTCGAGAGGCACGCAGAGTTCACTGCTTCCAAAGGTGACGATGCCTGACTCCTCTAGAATATTGATAGGAATCCCAAAATCCCTGTGGCTACTGGAAAACGTCCTTTGGTGCACTTCCTCACTTCGAGAAGAGTCCCTTGTGCCCTGCAAACCCTCAAAGAGATTCCTGAGGTGTCCCCCGTTACTAGACAGGAGTCCTGACATCACTGAATAAACATGTGTTTTGAAAGGCCATCCCCGCCGTAACTCGAGAACATACCGCATATCCCCGCCGCAACTCGAGAAAAACCATGAGACTTCCCCCTAGATGCGAGATGAGGCCCGATTCCCCTGTAGTGCAGGCAGAGCAATTCCGTGATCACCATCAAACAAGTCAGGAGATTCGAATTCCTTAATGGATTTCGAGACAGTCCCCAAGAACACTGTCACAAGTCTAGACGGACACTGAGGTCACCCCTGAAATGCAAAGCAGCTCCATGTGCCCCAAATCAACTCGAGATGAGGCCCGATTCCCTTGCGTTGACTCCAGAGCCATCCCCCGTTCCCCATAAAAAACGACCAGTGGCTTGACTTCCTTCAGGCAACTCCCGAGATGCCCCGAGAACACTGTCCCAAGTCTAGAGGAACACCAACTTCAGCACAGCAACTCGAAGAATGCAACATGCACCCCAAATCGTCTCGAGTTCAGAGCTGATTCCCTGGCTTAGGCTCAAGACGTATGCCAACTTTCCAGAAGCACCTCAGGAGGAGGCTTCTCTCAGCAATAGGTATGTGGGAGGGACCCCGAGTTTGCTGCCCCAAGTGGGATATACAGCGAGAAGCCGTAACATGAATGGAGGCCGGGTTTCCTTGCAGTGGCTTGAATACAGCTCGTCTTTCATCGCCCAATATGAAGGGATGTCTGAATCCCCTGTGGAGACCTTAGAGAAAGCCCTAGGTACCTGCCTCATTATGACGGAATGCCTCACATTCCGTTGACACCTCGAGAGGCACGCGGAGTTCACTGCTTCAAAAGGTAACGTAGCCTGACTCATGGTGAATATTGGTAGAAATCCCAAAATCTCTGTGGCTACTGGGAAAGGCCCTTGGGTGCACTGCTCACCTCGAGAAGCATCCCTCGTGCCCTGCCAGTCCTCGAAGAGATTACTGAGGTGTCCCTCGTTACTAGACAGGAGTCCTGACGTCACTGAATAAACACGAGTTTTGAAGGGCAATCCCCGCCGTAACTCGAGAACATACCGCAGGTCCCCGCCGCAAATCGAAAAAAAACATGAGACTTCCCCCTAGATGTGAGATGAGGCCCGATTCCCCTGCAGTGCACGCAGAGCAATTCCGTGATCCCCACCAATCAATTCAGGAGCTTCGACTTGCTTAATGGATCTCGAGACAGTCCCCAAGACACTGTCACAAGTGTAGACTTACCCTGAGGTCACCCCTGCAACGCAAAGCAGCTCCATGTGCCCCAAATCAACTGGAGATGAGGCCCGATTCCCCTGCGTTGACCCCAGAGCCTTCCCCCGTTCCTCATTAAAAAGACCAGTGGCTTGACTTCCTTTAGGCAACTCCAGAGATGCCCCGAGAACACTGTCCCAAGTCTAGAGGAACACCAACCTCAGCACAGCAACTCGAGGAATGCTCCGTGTACCTCAAATCTTCTCGAGATCAAAGCTGATTCCCTGGCTTAGGCTCAAGACGTATGCCAACTTTCCGGAAGCACCTCAAGTGGAGGCTTCTCTCAGCAATAGGTATGTGGGAGGGACCCCGAGTTTGCTGCCTCAAGTGGAATAAACAGCGAGAAGCCCTAATTAGAAAGGAGGCTGGATTTTTTTGCAGTGGCTTGAATACAGGTTCGTCTTTCATCTCACAACATGAAGGGATGTCTGATTCTCCTGTGGAGACCTTAGAGAAAGCCCTAGGTCCCTGCCTCATTTTGACGGAATGCCTCACATCCCGTTGACACCTCGAGAGGCAAGCGGAGTTCACTGCTTCAAAAGGTGACGAAGGCTGACTATTCTTGAACATTGATAGGAATCCCAAAATCCCTGTGGCTACTTGAAAGGGTCCTTGGGTGCCCTGCCTTTCCTCGAGAAGCGTCCCATGTGGCCTGCCAAGCCTCGAAGAGATCCCTTACATGTCCCTCCTTACTAGACAGGAGTCCTGACGTCACTGAATAAACTCGTGTTTGAAGGGCCATCCCCACCGTAACTCGTGAACATAACCCAGTTCCCCGCCGCAACTCGAGAAAAACCATGAGACTTCCCCCTAGATGTGAGTGGAGTCCGATTCTCCTGCAGTGCATGCAGAGCAATTCCGTGATCCCCATCATACAAGTCATGAGATTCAACTTGCTTAATGGATCTCAACAGAGTCCCGAAGAACACTGTCACAAGTCTAGACGGACCCTGAGGTCACCCCAACAACGCAAAGCAGCTCCATGTGCCACAAATCAACTCGAGATGAGGCCCAATTCCCCTGCGTTGACTCCAGAGCTATTCCCCGTTCCCCATTAAACACGACCAGTGGCTTGACTTCCTTCAGGCACCTCCAGACATGCCCCGAGAACACTGTCCCAAGTCTAGAGGAACACCAACTTCAGCACAGCAACTCGAAGAATGCCTCGTGTACCCCAAATCGTCTCGAGATGAGAGCTGATTCCCTGGGTTAGGCTCAAGACGTATGCCAACTTTCCAGAAGCACCTCAAGGGGAGGCTTCTCTCAGCAATATGTATGTGGGAGGGACCCCGAGTTTGCTGCCTCAAGTGGCATATACAGCGAGAAGCCCTAACTTGAAATGAGGCCGTGTTTCCTTGCAGTGGCTTGAATACAGGCTCGTCTATCATCTCACAACATGAAGGGATGTCTGAATCCCCTGAGGAGTTCTCAGAGAAAGCCCTAGGTCCCTGCCTCATTTTGACGGAAAGCCTCACATCCCGTTGACACCTCGAGAGGCACGCGGAGTTCACTGCTTCAAAAGGTGACGATGTCTGACTCCTCTTGAATATTGATAGGAATCCCCAAAAACACTGTGGCTACTGGAAAGGGTTCTTGGGTGGCCTGACTCACCTCGAAAAGTGTCCCTTGTGGCCTGCCAAGCCTTATGAGATTCCTGAGGTGTCCCTCGTTACTAGATAGGAGTCCTGACGTCACTGAATAAACACGTGTTTTGAAGGGCCATCCCCCCGTAACTCGATAATGTACCACAGGTCCCCACCGCAACTCGAGTAAAACCATGAGACTTCCCCCTAGATGCGAGATGAGGCACGATTCCCCTGCAGGGCATGCAGAGCAATTCCGTGATCCCCATCAAACAAGTCAGAAGCTTCGACTTGCTTAATGGATCTCGAGACAGTCCCCAAGAACACTGTCACAAGTCTAGACGGACCCTGAGGTCACCCCTGCAATGCAAAGCAGCTCCATGTGCCCCAAATCAACTCGAGATGAGGCCCGATTCCCCTGCGTTGACTCCGGAGCCATCCGCGGTTCCCCATTAAACACGACCAGTGGCTTGACTTCCTTCAGGCAACTCCAGAGATGCCCCGAGAACACTGTCCCAAGTCTAGAGGAACACCAACTTCAGCACAGCATCTCGAAGAATGCTCCATGTACCCCAAATGGTCTCGAGATGAGAGCTGATTCCCTGGCTTAAGCTCAAGACGTATGCCAACTTTCCAGAAGCACCTCAAGGGGAGGCTTCTTTAAGCAATAGGTATGTGGTAGGGACCCCGAGTTTGCTGCCTCAAGTGGGATATACAGCGAGAAGCCCTAACTTGAAAGGAGGCCGGGTTTCCTTGAAGTGGCTTGAATAAGGCTCGTCTTTCATCTCCCAACATGAAGGGATGTCTGAATCCCCTGTGGAGAACTTAGAGAAAGCCCTAGGTCCCTGCCTCATTATGACGGAATGCCTCACATCAAGTTGACACCTCGAGAGGCACGCAGAGTTCACTGCTTCCAAAGGTGACGATGCCTGACTCCTCTAGAATATTGATAGGAATCCCAAAATCCCTGTGGCTACTGGAAAACGTCCTTTGGTGCACTTCCTCACTTCGAGAAGAGTCCCTTGTGCCCTGCAAACCCTCAAAGAGATTCCTGAGGTGTCCCCCGTTACTAGACAGGAGTCCTGACATCACTGAATAAACATGTGTTTTGAAAGGCCATCCCCGCCGTAACTCGAGAACATACCGCATATCCCCGCCGCAACTCGAGAAAAACCATGAGACTTCCCCCTAGATGCGAGATGAGGCCCGATTCCCCTGTAGTGCAGGCAGAGCAATTCCGTGATCACCATCAAACAAGTCAGGAGATTCGAATTCCTTAATGGATTTCGAGACAGTCCCCAAGAACACTGTCACAAGTCTAGACGGACACTGAGGTCACCCCTGAAATGCAAAGCAGCTCCATGTGCCCCAAATCAACTCGAGATGAGGCCCGATTCCCTTGCGTTGACTCCAGAGCCATCCCCCGTTCCCCATAAAAAACGACCAGTGGCTTGACTTCCTTCAGGCAACTCCCGAGATGCCCCGAGAACACTGTCCCAAGTCTAGAGGAACACCAACTTCAGCACAGCAACTCGAAGAATGCAACATGCACCCCAAATCGTCTCGAGTTCAGAGCTGATTCCCTGGCTTAGGCTCAAGACGTATGCCAACTTTCCAGAAGCACCTCAGGAGGAGGCTTCTCTCAGCAATAGGTATGTGGGAGGGACCCCGAGTTTGCTGCCCCAAGTGGGATATACAGCGAGAAGCCGTAACATGAATGGAGGCCGGGTTTCCTTGCAGTGGCTTGAATACAGCTCGTCTTTCATCGCCCAATATGAAGGGATGTCTGAATCCCCTGTGGAGACCTTAGAGAAAGCCCTAGGTACCTGCCTCATTATGACGGAATGCCTCACATTCCGTTGACACCTCGAGAGGCACGCGGAGTTCACTGCTTCAAAAGGTAACGTAGCCTGACTCATGGTGAATATTGGTAGAAATCCCAAAATCTCTGTGGCTACTGGGAAAGGCCCTTGGGTGCACTGCTCACCTCGAGAAGCATCCCTCGTGCCCTGCCAGTCCTCGAAGAGATTACTGAGGTGTCCCTCGTTACTAGACAGGAGTCCTGACGTCACTGAATAAACACGAGTTTTGAAGGGCAATCCCCGCCGTAACTCGAGAACATACCGCAGGTCCCCACCGCAAATCGAAAAAAACCATGAGACTTCCCCCTAGATGTGAGATGAGGCCCGATTCCCCTGCAGTGCACGCAGAGCAATTCCGTGATCCCCATCAATCAATTCAGGAGCTTCGACTTGCTTAATGGATCTCGAGACAGTCCCCAAGACACTGTCACAAGTGTAGACTTACCCTGAGGTCACCCCTGCAACGCAAAGCAGCTCCATGTGCCCCAAATCAACTGGAGATGAGGCCCGATTCCCCTGCGTTGACCCCAGAGCCTTCCCCCGTTCCTCATTAAAAAGACCAGTGGCTTGACTTCCTTTAGGCAACTCCAGAGATGCCCCGAGAACACTGTCCCAAGTCTAGAGGAACACCAACCTCAGCACAGCAACTCGAGGAATGCTCCGTGTACCTCAAATCTTCTCGAGATCAAAGCTGATTCCCTGGCTTAGGCTCAAGACGTATGCCAACTTTCCGGAAGCACCTCAAGTGGAGGCTTCTCTCAGCAATAGGTATGTGGGAGGGACCCCGAGTTTGCTGCCTCAAGTGGAATAAACAGCGAGAAGCCCTAATTAGAAAGGAGGCTGGATTTTCTTGCAGTGGCTTGAATACAGGTTCGTCTTTCATCTCACAACATGAAGGGATGTCTGAATCTCCTGTGGAGACCTTAGAGAAAGCCCTAGGTCCCTGCCTCATTTTGACGGAATGCCTCACATCCCGTTGACACCTCGAGAGGCACGCGGAGTTCACTGCTTCAAAAGGTGACGAAGGCTGACTATTCTTGAACATTGATAGGAATCCCAAAATCCCTGTGGCTACTTGAAAGGGTCCTTGGGTGCCCTGCCTTTCCTCGAGAAGCGTCCCTTGTGGCCTGCCAAGCCTCGAAGAGATCCCTTACGTGTCCCTCCTTACTAGACAGGAGTCCTGACGTCACTGAATAAACTCGTGTTTGAAGGGCCATCCCCACCGTAACTCGTGAACATACCCCAGTTCCCCGCCGCAACTCGAGAAAAACCATGAGACTTCCCCCTAGATGTGAGTGGAGTCCGATTCTCCTGCAGTGCAGGCAGAGCAATTCCGTGATCCCCATCAAACAAGTCATGAGATTCAACTTGCTTAATGGATCTCAACAGAGTCCCGAAGAACACTGTCACAAGTCTAGACGGACCCTGAGGTCACCCCAACAACGCAAAGAAGCTCCATGTGCCACAAATCAACTCGAGATGAGGCCCGATTCCCCTGCGTTGACTCCAGAGCTATTCCCCGTTCCCCATTAAACACGACCAGTGGCTTGACTTCATTCAGGCACCTCCAGACATGCCCCGAGAACACTGTCCCAAGTCTAGAGGAACACCAACTTCAGCACAGGAACTCGAAGAATGCCTCGTGTACCCCAAATCGTCTCGAGATGAGAGCTGATTCCCTGGGTTAGGCTCAAGACGTATGCCAACTTTCCAGAAGCACCTCAAGGGGAGGCTTCTCTCAGCAATATGTATGTGGGAGGGACCCCGAGTTTGCTGCCTCAAGTGGCATATACAGCGAGAAGCCCTAACTTGAAATGAGGCCGTGTTTCCTTGCAGTGGCTTGAATACAGGCTCGTCTATCATCTCACAACATGAAGGGATGTCTGAATCCCCTGAGGAGTTCTCAGAGAAAGCCCTAGGTCCCTGCCTCATTTTGACGGAAAGCCTCACATCCCGTTGACACCTCGAGAGGCACGCGGAGTTCACTGCTTCAAAAGGTGACGATGTCTGACTCCTCTTGAATATTGATAGGAATCCCCAAAAACACTGTGGCTACTGGAAAGGGTTCTTGGGTGGCCTGACTCACCTCGAAAAGTGTCCCTTGTGGCCTGCCAAGCCTTATGAGATTCCTGAGGTGTCCCTCGTTACTAGATAGGAGTCCTGACGTCACTGAATAAACACGTGTTTTGAAGGGCCATCCCCCCGTAACTCGATAATGTACCACAGGTCCCCACCGCAACTCGAGTAAAACCATGAGACTTCCCCCTAGATGCGAGATGAGGCACGATTCCCCTGCAGGGCATGCAGAGCAATTCCGTGATCCCCATCAAACAAGTCAGAAGCTTCGACTTGCTTAATGGATCTCGAGACAGTCCCCAAGAACACTGTCACAAGTCTAGACGGACCCTGAGGTCACCCCTGCAATGCAAAGCAGCTCCATGTGCCCCAAATCAACTCGAGATGAGGCCCGATTCCCCTGCGTTGACTCCGGAGCCATCCGCGGTTCCCCATTAAACACGACCAGTGGCTTGATTTCCTTCAGGCAACTCCAGAGATGCCCCGAGAACACTGTCCCAAGTCTAGAGGAACACCAACTTCAGCACAGCATCTCGAAGAATGCTCCATGTACCCCAAATGGTCTCGAGATGAGAGCTGATTCCCTGGCTTAAGCTCAAGACGTATGCCAACTTTCCAGAAGCACCTCAATGGGAGGCTTCTTTAAGCAATAGGTATGTGGTAGGGACCCCGAGTTTGCTGCCTAAAATGGGATATACAGCGAGAAGCCCTAACTTGAAAGGAGGCCGGGTTTCCTTGCAGTGGCTTGAATACAGGCTCGTCTTTCATCTCCCAACATGAAGGGATGTCTGAATACCCTGCGGAGACCTTACAGATAGCCCTAGGTCCCTGCCTCATTATGACGGAATGCCTCACATCAAGTTGACACCTCGGGAGGCACGCAGAGTTCACTGCTTCAAAAGGTGATGATGCCTGTCTCCTCTTGAATATTGATAGGAATCCAAAAATCCCTGTGTCTACTGGAAAGGGTCCTTGGGAGCCCTTCCTCACCTCGAGAAGCGTCCCTTTTGCCCTGCCAAGCCTCGAAGAGCTTCCTGAGTTGTCCCACGTTACTAGACAGGAGTCCTGATGTCACTGAATAAACATGTGATTTGAAGGGCCATCCCCGCCCTAACTCGAGAACATACCGCATATCCCCGCCGCAACTCGAGAAAAACCATGAGACTTCCCCATAGATGCGAGATGAGGCTCGATTCCCCTGCAGTGCATGCAGAGAAATTCCGTGATCCGCATCAAACAAGTCTGGATATTCGAATTCCTTAATGGATTTCCAGAGAGTCCCCAAGAACACTGTCACAAGTCTAGATGGACCCTGAGGTTACCACAGCAACGCAAAGTAGCTCCATGTGCCACAAATCAACTCGAGGTGAGGCCCGATTCCACTGCATTGACTCCAGAGCTAACCCCCGTTCCCCATTCAACACGACCAGTGGCTTGACTCCCTTCAGGCACCTCCAGAGATGCCCCGAGAACACTGTCCCAAGTCTAGAGGAACACCATCTTCAGCACAGCAACTCGTGGAATGCTCCATGTACCCCAAATCGTCTCGAGATGAGAGCTGATTCCCTGGCTTAGCCTCAAGACGTATGCCAACTTTCCAGAAGCACCTCAAGGGGAGGCTTCTTTAAGCAAAAGGTATGTGGTAGGGACCCCGAGTTTGCTGCCTCAAGTGGGATATACAGCGAGAAGCCCTAACTTGAAAGGAGGCAGGGTTTCCTTGAAGTGGCTTGAATAAGGCTCGTCTTTCATCTCCCAACATGAAGGTATGTCTGAATCCCCTGTGGAGAACTTAGAGAAAGCCCTAGGTCCCTGCCTCATTATGACGGAATGCCTCACATCAAGTTGACACCTCGAGAGGCACGCAGAGTTCACTGCTTCCAAAGGTGACGATGCCTGACTCCTCTAGAATATTGATAGGAATCCCAAAATCCCTGTGGCTACTGGAAAAGGTCCTTTGGTGCACTTCCTCACTTCGAGAAGAGTCCCTTGTGACCTGCAAACCCTCAAAGAGATTCCTGAGGTGTCCCACGTTACTAGACAGCAGTCCTGACATCACTGAATAAACATGTGTTTTGAAAGGCCATCCCCGCCGTAACTCGAGAACATACCGCATATCCCCGCCGCAACTCGAGAAAAACCTTAGTCTTCCCCCTAGATGCGAGATGAGGCCCGATTCCCCTGTAGTGCAGGCAGAGCAATTCCGTGATCACCATCAAACAAGTCAGGAGATTCGAATTCCTTAATGGATTTCGAGACAGTCCCCAAGAACACTGTCACAAGTCTAGACGGACACTGAGGTCACCCCTGAAATGCAAAGCAGCTCCATGTGCCCCAAATCAACTCGAGATGAGGCCCGATTCCCTTGCGTTGACTCCAGAGCCATCCCCCGTTCCCCATAAAAAACGACCAGTGGCTTGACTTCCTTCAGGCAACTCCCGAGATGCCCCGAGAACACTGTCCCAAGTCCAGAGGAACACCAACTTCAGCACAGCAACTCGAAGAATGCAATATGCACCCCAAATCGTCTCGAGTTCAGAGCTGATTCCCTGGCTTAGGCTCAAGGCGTATGCCAACTTTCCAGAAGCACCTCAGGAGGAGGCTTCTCTCAGCAATAGGTATGTGGGAGGGACCCCGAGTTTGCTGCCCCAAGTGGGATATACAGCGAGAAGCCGTAACATGAATGGAGGCCGGGTTTCCTTGCAGTGGCTTGAATACAGCTCGTCTTTCATCGCCCAATATGAAGGGATGTCTGAATCCCCTGTGGAGACCTTAGAGAAAGCCCTAGGTACCTGCCTCATTATGACGGAATGCCTCACATTCCGTTGACACCTCGAGAGGCACGCGGAGTTCACTGCTTCAAAAGGTAACGTAGCCTGACTCATGGTGAATATTGGTAGAAATCCCAAAATCTCTGTGGCTACTGGGAAAGGCCCTTGGGTGCACTGCTCACCTCGAGAAGCATCCCTCGTGCCCTGCCAGTCCTCGAAGAGATTACTGAGGTGTCCCTCGTTACTAGACAGGAGTCCTGACGTCACTGAATAAACACGAGTTTTGAAGGGCAATCCCCGCCGTAACTCGAGAACATACCGCAGGTCCCCGCCGCAAATCGAAAAAAACCATGAGACTTCCCCCTAGATGTGAGATGAGGCCCGATTCCCCTGCAGTGCACGCAGAGCAATTCCGTGATCCCCATCAATCAATTCAGGAGCTTCGACTTGCTTAATGGATCTCGAGACAGTCCCCAAGACACTGTCACAAGTGTAGACTTACCCTGAGGTCACCCCTGCAACGCAAAGCAGCTCCATGTGCCCCAAATCAACTGGAGATGAGGCCCGATTCCCCTGCGTTGACCCCAGAGCCTTCCCCCGTTCCTCATTAAAAAGACCAGTGGCTTGACTTCCTTTAGGCAACTCCAGAGATGCCCCGAGAACACTGTCCCAAGTCTAGAGGAACACCAACCTCAGCACAGCAACTCGAGGAATGCTCCGTGTACCTCAAATCTTCTCGAGATCAAAGCTGATTCCCTGGCTTAGGCTCAAGACGTATGCCAACTTTCCGGAAGCACCTCAAGTGGAGGCTTCTCTCAGCAATAGGTATGTGGGAGGGACCCCGAGTTTGCTGCCTCAAGTGGAATAAACAGCGAGAAGCCCTAATTAGAAAGGAGGCTGGATTTTTTTGCAGTGGCTTGAATACAGGTTCGTCTTTCATCTCACAACATGAAGGGATGTCTGAATCTCCTGTGGAGACCTTAGAGAAAGCCCTAGGTCCCTGCCTCATTTTGACGGAATGCCTCACATCCCGTTGACACCTCGAGAGGCACGCGGAGTTCACTGCTTCAAAAGGTGACGAAGGCTGACTATTCTTGAACATTGATAGGAATCCCAAAATCCCTGTGGCTACTTGAAAGGGTCCTTGGGTGCCCTGCCTTTCCTCGAGAAGCGTCCCTTGTGGCCCTGCCAAGCCTCGAAGAGATCCCTTACGTGTCCCTCCTTACTAGACAGGAGTCCTAACGTCACTGAATAAACTCGTGTTTGAAGGGCCATCCCCACCGTAACTCGTGAACATACCCCAGTTCCCCGCCGCAACTCGAGAAAAACCATGAGACTTCCCCCTAGATGTGAGTGGAGTCCGATTCTCCTGCAGTGCATGCAGAGCAATTCCGTGATCCCCATCAAACAAGTCATGAGATTCAACTTGCTTAATGGATCTCAACAGAGTCCCAAAGAACACTGTCACAAGTCTAGACGGACCCTGAGGTCACCCCAACAACGCAAAGCAGCTCCATGTGCCACAAATCAACTCGAGATGAGGCCCAATTCCCCTGCGTTGACTCCAGAGCTATTCCCCGTTCCCCATTAAACACGACCAGTGGCTTGACTTCCTTCAGGCACCTCCAGACATGCCCCGAGAACACTGTCCCAAGTCTAGAGGAACACCAACTTCAGCACAGCAACTCGAAGAATGCCTCGTGTACCCCAAATCGTCTCGAGATGAGAGCTGATTCCCTGGGTTAGGCTCAAGACGTATGCCAACTTTCCAGAAGCACCTCAAGGGGAGGCTTCTCTCAGCAATATGTATGTGGGAGGGACCCCGAGTTTGCTGCCTCAAGTGGCATATACAGCGAGAAGCCCTAACTTGAAATGAGGCCGTGTTTCCTTGCAGTGGCTTGAATACAGGCTCGTCTATCATCTCACAACATGAAGGGATGTCTGAATCCCCTGAGGAGTTCTCAGAGAAAGCCCTAGGTCCCTGCCTCATTTTGACGGAAAGCCTCACATCCCGTTGACACCTCGAGAGGCACGCGGAGTTCACTGCTTCAAAAGGTGACGATGTCTGACTCCTCTTGAATATTGATAGGAATCCCCAAAAACACTGTGGCTACTGGAAAGGGTTCTTGGGTGGCCTGACTCACCTCGAAAAGTGTCCCTTGTGGCCTGCCAAGCCTTATGAGATTCCTGAGGTGTCCCTCGTTACTAGATAGGAGTCCTGACGTCACTGAATAAACACGTGTTTTGAAGGGCCATCCCCCCGTAACTCGATAATGTACCACAGGTCCCCACCGCAACTCGAGTAAAACCATGAGACTTCCCCCTAGATGCGAGATGAGGCCCGATTCCCCTGCAGGGCATGCAGAGCAATTCCGTGATCCCCATCAAACAAGTCAGAAGCTTCGACTTGCTTAATGGATCTCGAGACAGTCCCCAAGAACACTGTCACAAGTCTAGACGGACCCTGAGGTCACCCCTGCAATGCAAAGCAGCTCCATGTGCCCCAAATCAACTCGAGATGAGGCCCGATTCCCCTGCGTTGACTCCGGAGCCATCCGCGGTTCCCCATTAAACACGACCAGTGGCTTGACTTCCTTCAGGCAACTCCAGAGATGCCCCGAGAACACTGTCCCAAGTCTAGAGGAACACCAACTTCAGCACAGCATCTCGAAGAATGCTCCATGTACCCCAAATGGTCTCGAGATGAGAGCTGATTCCCTGGCTTAAGCTCAAGACGTATGCCAACTTTCCAGAAGCACCTCAAGGCGAGGCTTCTTTAAGCAATAGGTATGTGGTAGGGACCCCGAGTTTGCTGCCTAAAATGGGATATACAGCGAGAAGCCCTAACTTGAAAGGAGGCCGGGTTTCCTTGCAGTGGCTTGAATACAGGCTCGTCTTTCATCTCCCAACATGAAGGGATGTCTGAATACCCTGCGGAGACCTTACAGATAGCCCTAGGTCCCTGCCTCATTATGACGGAATGCCTCACATCAAGTTGACACCTCGGGAGGCACGCAGAGTTCACTGCTTCAAAAGGTGATGATGCCTGTCTCCTCTTGAATATTGATAGGAATCCAAAAATCCCTGTGGCTACTGGAAAGGGTCCTTGGGAGCCCTTCCTCACCTCGAGAAGCGTCCCTTTTGCCCTGCCAAGCCTCGAAGAGCTTCCTGAGTTGTTCCACGTTACTAGACAGGAGTCCTGATGTCACTGAATAAACATGTGATTTGAAGGGCCATCCCCGCCCTAACTCGAGAACATACCGCATATCCCCGCCGCAACTCGAGAAAAACCATGAGACTTCCCCATAGATGCGAGATGAGGCTCGATTCCCCTGCAGTGCATGCAGAGCAATTCCGTGATGCGCATCAAACAAGTCTGGATATTCGAATTCCTTAATGGATTTCCAGAGAGTCCCCAAGAACACTGTCACAAGTCTAGATGGACCCTGAGGTTACCACAGCAACGCAAAGTAGCTCCATGTGCCACAAATCAACTCGAGGTGAGGCCCGATTCCACTGCATTGACTCCAGAGCTAACCCCCGTTCCCCATTCAACACGACCAGTGGCTTGACTCCCTTCAGGCACCTCCAGAGATGCCCCGAGAACACTGTCCCAAGTCTAGAGGAACACCATCTTCAGCACAGCAACTCGTGGAATGCTCCATGTACCCCAAATCGTCTCGAGATGAGAGCTGATTCCCTGGCTTAGCCTCAAGACGTATGCCAACTTTCCAGAAGCACCTCAAGGGGAGGCTTCTTTAAGCAAAAGGTATGTGGTAGGGACCCCGAGTTTGCTGCCTCAAGTGGGATATACAGCGAGAAGCCCTAACTTGAAAGGAGGCAGGGTTTCCTTGAAGTGGCTTGAATAAGGCTCGTCTTTCATCTCCCAACATGATGGTATGTCTGAATCCCCTGTGGAGAACTTAGAGAAAGCCCTAGGTCCCTGCCTCATTATGACGGAATGCCTCACATCAAGTTGACACCTCGAGAGGCACGCAGAGTTCACTGCTTCCAAAGGTGACGATGCCTGACTCATCTAGAATATTGATAGGAATCCCAAAATCCCTGTGGCTCCTGGAAAAGGTCCTTTGGTGCACTTCCTCACTTCGAGAAGAGTCCCTTGTGACCTGCAAACCCTCAAAGAGATTCCTGAGGTGTCCCACGTTACTAGACAGGAGTCCTGACATCACTGAATAAACATGTGTTTTGAAAGGCCATCCCCGCCGTAACTCGAGAACATACCGCATATCCCCGCCGCAACTCGAGAAAAACCATGAGACTTCCCCCTAGATGCGAGATGAGGCCCGATTCCCCTGTAGTGCAGGCAGAGCAATTCCGTGATCACCATCAAACAAGTCAGGAGATTCGAATTCCTTAATGGATTTCGAGACAGTCCCCAAGAACACTGTCACAAGTCTAGACGGACACTGAGGTCACCCCTGAAATGCAAAGCAGCTCCATGTGCCCCAAATCAACTCGAGATGAGGCCCGATTCCCTTGCGTTGACTCCAGAGCCATCCCCCGTTCCCCATAAAAAACGACCAGTGGCTTGACTTCCTTCAGGCAACTCCCGAGATGCCCCGAGAACACTGTCCCAAGTCTAGAGGAACACCAACTTCAGCACAGCAACTCGAAGAATGCAACATGCACCCCAAATCGTCTCGAGTTCAGAGCTGATTCCCTGGCTTAGGCTCAAGACGTATGCCAACTTTCCAGAAGCACCTCAGGAGGAGGCTTCTCTCAGCAATAGGTATGTGGGAGGGACCCCGAGTTTGCTGCCCCAAGTGGGATATACAGCGAGAAGCCGTAACATGAATGGAGGCCGGGTTTCCTTGCAGTGGCTTGAATACAGCTCGTCTTTCATCGCCCAATATGAAGGGATGTCTGAATCCCCTGTGGAGACCTTAGAGAAAGCCCTAGGTACCTGCCTCATTATGACGGAATGCCTCACATTCCGTTGACACCTCGAGAGGCACGCGGAGTTCACTGCTTCAAAAGGTAACGTAGCCTGACTCATGGTGAATATTGGTAGAAATCCCAAAATCTCTGTGGCTACTGGGAAAGGCCCTTGGGTGCACTGCTCACCTCGAGAAGCATCCCTCGTGCCCTGCCAGTCCTCGAAGAGATTACTGAGGTGTCCCTCGTTACTAGACAGGAGTCCTGACGTCACTGAATAAACACGAGTTTTGAAGGGCAATCCCCGCCGTAACTCGAGAACATACCGCAGGTCCCGCCGCAAATCGAAAAAAACCATGAGACTTCCCCCTAGATGTGAGATGAGGCCCGATTCCCCTGCAGTGCACGCAGAGCAATTCCGTGATCCCCATCAATCAATTCAGGAGCTTCGACTTGCTTAATGGATCTCGAGACAGTCCCCAAGACACTGTCACAAGTGTAGACTTACCCTGAGGTCACCCCTGCAACGCAAAGCAGCTCCATGTGCCCCAAATCAACTGGAGATGAGGCCCGATTCCCCTGCGTTGACCCCAGAGCCTTCCCCCGTTCCTCATTAAAAAGACCAGTGGCTTGACTTCCTTTAGGCAACTCCAGAGATGCCCCGAGAACACTGTCCCAAGTCTAGAGGAACACCAACCTCAGCACAGCAACTCGAGGAATGCTCCGTGTACCTCAAATCTTCTCGAGATCAAAGCTGATTCCCTGGCTTAGGCTCAAGACGTATGCCAACTTTCCGGAAGCACCTCAAGTGGAGGCTTCTCTCAGCAATAGGTATGTGGGAGGGACCCCGAGTTTGCTGCCTCAAGTGGAATAAACAGCGAGAAGCCCTAATTAGAAAGGAGGCTGGATTTTTTTGCAGTGGCTTGAATACAGGTTCGTCTTTCATCTCACAACATGAAGGGATGTCTGAATCTCCTGTGGAGACCTTAGAGAAAGCCCTAGGTCCCTGCCTCATTTTGACGGAATGCCTCACATCCCGTTGACACCTCGAGAGGCACGCGGAGTTCACTGCTTCAAAAGGTGACGAAGGCTGACTATTCTTGAACATTGATAGGAATCCCAAAATCCCTGTGGCTACTTGAAAGGGTCCTTGGGTGCCCTGCCTTTCCTCGAGAAGCGTCCCTTGTGGCCCTGCCAAGCCTCGAAGAGATCCCTTACGTGTCCCTCCTTACTAGACAGGAGTCCTGACGTCACTGAATAAACTCGTGTTTGAAGGGCCATCCCCACCGTAACTCGTGAACATACCCCAGTTCCCCGCCGCAACTCGAGAAAAACCATGAGACTTCCCCCTAGATGTGAGTGGAGTCCGATTCTCCTGCAGTGCATGCAGAGCAATTCCGTGATCCCCATCAAACAAGTCATGAGATTCAACTTGCTTAATGGATCTCAACAGAGTCCCAAAGAACACTGTCACAAGTCTAGACGGACCCTGAGGTCACCCCAACAACGCAAAGCAGCTCCATGTGCCACAAATCAACTCGAGATGAGGCCCAATTCCCCTGCGTTGACTCCAGAGCTATTCCCCGTTCCCCATTAAACACGACCAGTGGCTTGACTTCCTTCAGGCACCTCCAGACATGCCCCGAGAACACTGTCCCAAGTCTAGAGGAACACCAACTTCAGCACAGCAACTCGAAGAATGCCTCGTGTACCCCAAATCGTCTCGAGATGAGAGCTGATTCCCTGGGTTAGGCTCAAGACGTATGCCAACTTTCCAGAAGCACCTCAAGGGGAGGCTTCTCTCAGCAATATGTATGTGGGAGGGACCCCGAGTTTGCTGCCTCAAGTGGCATATACAGCGAGAAGCCCTAACTTGAAATGAGGCCGTGTTTCCTTGCAGTGGCTTGAATACAGGCTCGTCTATCATCTCACAACATGAAGGGATGTCTGAATCCCCTGAGGAGTTCTCAGAGAAAGCCCTAGGTCCCTGCCTCATTTTGACGGAAAGCCTCACATCCCGTTGACACCTCGAGAGGCACGCGGAGTTCACTGCTTCAAAAGGTGACGATGTCTGACTCCTCTTGAATATTGATAGGAATCCCCAAAAACACTGTGGCTACTGGAAAGGGTTCTTGGGTGGCCTGACTCACCTCGAAAAGTGTCCCTTGTGGCCTGCCAAGCCTTATGAGATTCCTGAGGTGTCCCTCGTTACTAGATAGGAGTCCTGACGTCACTGAATAAACACGTGTTTTGAAGGGCCATCCCCCCGTAACTCGATAATGTACCACAGGTCCCCACCGCAACTCGAGTAAAACCATGAGACTTCCCCCTAGATGCGAGATGAGGCACGATTCCCCTGCAGGGCATGCAGAGCAATTCCGTGATCCCCATCAAACAAGTCAGAAGCTTCGACTTGCTTAATGGATCTCGAGACAGTCCCCAAGAACACTGTCACAAGTCTAGACGGACCCTGAGGTCACCCCTGCAATGCAAAGCAGCTCCATGTGCCCCAAATCAACTCGAGATGAGGCCCGATTCCCCTGCGTTGACTCCGGAGCCATCCGCGGTTCCCCATTAAACACGACCAGTGGCTTGACTTCCTTCAGGCAACTCCAGAGATGCCCCGAGAACACTGTCCCAAGTCTAGAGGAACACCAACTTCAGCACAGCATCTCGAAGAATGCTCCATGTACCCCAAATGGTCTCGAGATGAGAGCTGATTCCCTGGCTTAAGCTCAAGACGTATGCCAACTTTCCAGAAGCACCTCAAGGGGAGGCTTCTTTAAGCAATAGGTATGTGGTAGGGACCCCGAGTTTGCTGCCTAAAATGGGATATACAGCGAGAAGCCCTAACTTGAAAGGAGGCCGGGTTTCCTTGCAGTGGCTTGAATACAGGCTCGTCTTTCATCTCCCAACATGAAGGGATGTCTGAATACCCTGCGGAGACCTTACAGATAGCCCTAGGTCCCTGCCTCATTATGACGGAATGCCTCACATCAAGTTGACACCTCGGGAGGCACGCAGAGTTCACTGCTTCAAAAGGTGATGATGCCTGTCTCCTCTTGAATATTGATAGGAATCCAAAAATCCCTGTGGCTACTGGAAAGGGTCCTTGGGAGCCCTTCCTCACCTCGAGAAGCGTCCCTTTTGCCCTGCCAAGCCTCGAAGAGCTTCCTGAGTTGTTCCACGTTACTAGACAGGAGTCCTGATGTCACTGAATAAACATGTGATTTGAAGGGCCATCCCCGCCCTAACTGGAGAACATACCGCATATCCCCGCCGCAACTCGAGAAAAACCATGAGACTTCCCCATAGATGCGAGATGAGGCTCGATTCCCCTGCAGTGCATGCAGAGCAATTCCGTGATGCGCATCAAACAAGTCTGGATATTCGAATTCCTTAATGGATTTCCAGAGAGTCCCCAAGAACACTGTCACAAGTCTAGATGGACCCTGAGGTTACCACAGCAACGCAAAGTAGCTCCATGTGCCACAAATCAACTCGAGGTGAGGCCCGATTCCACTGCATTGACTCCAGAGCTAACCCCCGTTCCCCATTCAACACGACCAGTGGCTTGACTCCCTTCAGGCACCTCCAGAGATGCCCCGAGAACACTGTCCCAAGTCTAGAGGAACACCAACTTCAGCACAGCAACTCGTGGAATGCTCCATGTACCCCAAATCGTTTCGAGATGAGAGCTGATTCCCTGGCTTAGCCTCAAGACGTATGCCAACTTTCCAGAAGCACCTCAAGGGGAGGCTTCTTTAAGCAAAAGGTATGTGGTAGGGACCCCGAGTTTGCTGCCTCAAGTGGGATATACAGCGAGAAGCCCTAACTTGAAAGGAGGCAGGGTTTCCTTGAAGTGGCTTGAATAAGGCTCGTCTTTCATCTCCCAACATGAAGGTATGTCTGAATCCCCTGTGGAGAACTTAGAGAAAGCCCTAGGTCCCTGCCTCATTATGACGGAATGCCTCACATCAAGTTGACACCTCGAGAGGCACGCAGAGTTCACTGCTTCCAAAGGTGACGATGCCTGACTCCTCTAGAATATTGATAGGAATCCCAAAATCCCTGTGGCTACTGGAAAAGGTCCTTTGGTGCACTTCCTCACTTCGAGAAGAGTCCCTTGTGCCCTGCAAACCCTCAAAGAGATTCCTGAGGTGTCCCACGTTACTAGACAGGAGTCCTGACATCACTGAATAAACATGTGTTTTGAAAGGCCATCCCCGCCGTAACTCGAGAACATACCGCATATCCCCGCCGCAACTCGAGAAAAACCATGAGACTTCCCCCTAGATGCGAGATGAGGCCCGATTCCCCTGTAGTGCAGGCAGAGCAATTCCGTGATCACCATCAAACAAGTCAGGAGATTCGAATTCCTTAATGGATTTCGAGACAGTCCCCAAGAACACTGTCACAAGTCTAGACGGACACTGAGGTTACCCCTGAAATGCAAAGCAGCTCCATGTGCCCCAAATCAACTCGAGATGAGGCCCGATTCCCTTGCGTTGACTCCAGAGCCATCCCCCGTTCCCCATAAAAAACGACCAGTGGCTTGACTTCCTTCAGGCAACTCCCGAGATGCCCCGAGAACACTGTCCCAAGTCTAGAGGAACACCAACTTCAGCACAGCAACTCGAAGAATGCAACATGCACCCCAAATCGTCTCGAGTTCAGAGCTGATTCCCTGGCTTAGGCTCAAGACGTATGCCAACTTTCCAGAAGCACCTCAGGAGGAGGCTTCTCTCAGCAATAGGTATGTGGGAGGGACCCCGAGTTTGCTGCCCCAAGTGGGATATACAGCGAGAAGCCGTAACATGAATGGAGGCCGGGTTTCCTTGCAGTGGCTTGAATACAGCTCGTCTTTCATCGCCCAATATGAAGGGATGTCTGAATCCCCTGTGGAGACCTTAGAGAAAGCCCTAGGTACCTGCCTCATTATGACGGAATGCCTCACATTCCGTTGACACCTCGAGAGGCACGCGGAGTTCACTGCTTCAAAAGGTAACGTAGCCTGACTCATGGTGAATATTGGTAGAAATCCCAAAATCTCTGTGGCTACTGGGAAAGGCCCTTGGGTGCACTGCTCACCTCGAGAAGCATCCCTCGTGCCCTGCCAGTCCTCGAAGAGATTACTGAGGTGTCCCTCGTTACTAGACAGGAGTCCCGACGTCACTGAATAAACACGAGTTTTGAAGGGCAATCCCCGCCGTAACTCGAGAACATACCGCAGGTCCCCGCCGCAAATCGAAAAAAACCATGAGACTTCCCCCTAGATGTGAGATGAGGCCCGATTCCCCTGCAGTGCACGCAGAGCAATTCCGTGATCCCCATCAATCAATTCAGGAGCTTCGACTTGCTTAATGGATCTCGAGACAGTCCCCAAGACACTGTCACAAGTGTAGACTTACCCTGAGGTCACCCCTGCAACGCAAAGCAGCTCCATGTGCCCCAAATCAACTGGAGATGAGGCCCGATTCCCCTGCGTTGACCCCAGAGCCTTCCCCCGTTCCTCATTAAAAAGACCAGTGGCTTGACTTCCTTTAGGCAACTCCAGAGATGCCCCGAGAACACTGTCCCAAGTCTAGAGGAACACCAACCTCAGCACAGCAACTCGAGGAATGCTCCGTGTACCTCAAATCTTCTCGAGATCAAAGCTGATTCCCTGGCTTAGGCTCAAGACGTATGCCAACTTTCCGGAAGCACCTCAAGTGGAGGCTTCTCTCAGCAATAGGTATGTGGGAGGGACCCCGAGTTTGCTGCCTCAAGTGGAATAAACAGCGAGAAGCCCTAATTAGAAAGGAGGCTGGATTTTTTTGCAGTGGCTTGAATACAGGTTCGTCTTTCATCTCACAACATGAAGGGATGTCTGAATCTCCTGTGGAGACCTTAGAGAAAGCCCTAGGTCCCTGCCTCATTTTGACGGAATGCCTCACATCCCGTTGACACCTCGAGAGGCATGCGGAGTTCACTGCTTCAAAAGGTGACGAAGGCTGACTATTCTTGAACATTGATAGGAATCCCAAAATCCCTGTGGCTACTTGAAAGGGTCCTTGGGTGCCCTGCCTTTCCTCGAGAAGCGTCCCTTGTGGCCTGCCAAGCCTCGAAGAGATCCCTTACGTGTCCCTCCTTACTAGACAGGAGTCCTGACGTCACTGAATAAACTCGTGTTTGAAGGGCCATCCCCACCGTAACTCGTGAACATACCCCAGTTCCCCGCCGCAACTCGAGAAAAACCATGAGACTTCCCCCTAGATGTGAGTGGAGTCCGATTCTCCTGCAGTGCATGCAGAGCAATTCCGTGATCCCCATCAAACAAGTCATGAGATTCAACTTGCTTAATGGATCTCAACAGAGTCCCGAAGAACACTGTCACAAGTCTAGACGGACCCTGAGGTCACCCCAACAACGCAAAGCAGCTCCATGTGCCACAAATCAACTCGAGATGAGGCCCAATTCCCCTGCGTTGACTCCAGAGCTATTCCCCGTTCCCCATTAAACACGACCAGTGGCTTGACTTCCTTCAGGCACCTCCAGACATGCCCCGAGAACACTGTCCCAAGTCTAGAGGAACACCAACTTCAGCACAGCAACTCGAAGAATGCCTCGTGTACCCCAAATCGTCTCGAGATGAGAGCTGATTCCCTGGGTTAGGCTCAAGACGTATGCCAACTTTCCAGAAGCACCTCAAGGGGAGGCTTCTCTCAGCAATATGTATGTGGGAGGGACCCCGAGTTTGCTGCCTCAAGTGGCATATACAGCGAGAAGCCCTAACTTGAAATGAGGCCGTGTTTCCTTGCAGTGGCTTGAATACAGGCTCGTCTATCATCTCACAACATGAAGGGATGTCTGAATCCCCTGAGGAGTTCTCAGAGAAAGCCCTAGGTCCCTGCCTCATTTTGATGGAAAGCCTCACATCCCGTTGACACCTCGAGAGGCACGCGGAGTTCACTGCTTCAAAAGGTGACGATGTCTGACTCCTCTTGAATATTGATAGGAATCCCCAAAAACACTGTGGCTACTGGAAAGGGTTCTTGGGTGGCCTGACTCACCTCGAAAAGTGTCCCTTGTGGCCTGCCAAGCCTTATGAGATTCCTGAGGTGTCCCTCGTTACTAGATAGGAGTCCTGACGTCACTGAATAAACACGTGTTTTGAAGGGCCATCCCCCCGTAACTCGATAATGTACCACAGGTCCCCACCGCAACTCGAGTAAAACCATGAGACTTCCCCCTAGATGCGAGATGAGGCACGATTCCCCTGCAGGGCATGCAGAGCAATTCCGTGATCCCCATCCAACAAGTCAGAAGCTTCGACTTGCTTAATGGATCTCGAGACAGTCCCCAAGAACACTGTCACAAGTCTAGACGGACCCTGAGGTCACCCCTGCAATGCAAAGCAGCTCCATGTGCCCCAAATCAACTCGAGATGAGGCCCGATTCCCCTGCGTTGACTCCGGAGCCATCCGCGGTTCCCCATTAAACACGACCAGTGGCTTGACTTCCTTCAGGCAACTCCAGAGATGCCCCGAGAACACTGTCCCAAGTCTAGAGGAACACCAACTTCAGCACAGCATCTCGAAGAATGCTCCATGTACCCCAAATGGTCTCGAGATGAGAGCTGATTCCCTGGCTTAAGCTCAAGACGTATGCCAACTTTCCAGAAGCACCTCAAGGGGAGGCTTCTTTAAGCAATAGGTATGTGGTAGGGACCCCGAGTTTGCTGCCTAAAATGGGATATACAGCGAGAAGCCCTAACTTGAAAGGAGGCCGGGTTTCCTTGCAGTGGCTTGAATACAGGCTCGTCTTTCATCTCCCAACATGAAGGGATGTCTGAATACCCTGCGGAGACCTTACAGCTAGCCCTAGGTCCCTGCCTCATTATGACGGAATGCATCACATCAAGTTGACACCTCGGGAGGCACGCAGAGTTCACTGCTTCAAAAGGTGATGATGCCTGTCTCCTCTTGAATATTGATAGGAATCCAAAAATCCCTGTGGCTACTGGAAAGGGTCCTTGGGAGCACTTCCTCACCTCGAGAAGCGTCCCTTTTGCCCTGCCAAGCCTCGAAGAGCTTCCTGAGTTGTCCCACGTTACTAGACAGGAGTCCTGATGTCACTGAATAAACATGTGATTTGAAGGGCCATCCCCGCCCTAACTCGAGAACATACCGCATATCCCCGCCGCAACTCGAGAAAAACCATGAGACTTCCCCATAGATGCGAGATGAGGCTCGATTCCCCTGCAGTGCATGCAGAGCAATTCCGTGATCCGCATCAAACAAGTCTGGATATTCGAATTCCTTAATGGATTTCCAGAGAGTCCCCAAGAACACTGTCACAAGTCTAGATGGACCCTGAGGTTACCACAGCAACGCAAAGTAGCTCCATGTGCCACAAATCAACTCGAGGTGAGGCCCGATTCCACTGCATTGACTCCAGAGCTAACCCCCGTTCCCCATTCAACACGACCAGTGGCTTGACTCCCTTCAGGCACCTCCAGAGATGCCCCGAGAACACTGTCCCAAGTCTAGAGGAACACCATCTTCAGCACAGCAACTCGTGGAATGCTCCATGTACCCCAAATCGTCTCGAGATGAGAGCTGATTCCCTGGCTTAGCCTCAAGACGTATGCCAACTTTCCAGAAGCACCTCAAGGGGAGGCTTCTTTAAGCAAAAGGTATGTGGTAGGTACCCCGAGTTTGCTGCCTCAAGTGGGATATACAGCGAGAAGCCCTAACTTGAAAGGAGGCAGGGTTTCCTTGAAGTGGCTTGAATAAGGCTCGTCTTTCATCTCCCAACATGAAGGTATGTCTGAATCCCCTGTGGAGAACTTAGAGAAAGCCCTAGGTCCCTGCCTCATTATGACGGAATGCCTCACATCAAGTTGACACCTCGAGAGGCACGCAGAGTTCACTGCTTCCAAAGGTGACGATGCCTGACTCCTCTAGAATATTGATAGGAATCCCAAAATCCCTGTGGCTACTGGAAAAGGTCCTTTGGTGCACTTCCTCACTTCGAGAAGAGTCCCTTGTGCCCTGCAAACCCTCAAAGAGATTCCTGAGGTGTCCCACGTTACTAGACAGGAGTCCTGACATCACTGAATAAACATGTGTTTTGAAAGGCCATCCCCGCCGTAACTCGAGAACATACCGCATATCCCCGCCGCAACTCGAGAAAAACCATGAGACTTCCCCCTAGATGCGAGATGAGGCCCGATTCCCCTGTAGTGCAGGCAGAGCAATTCCGTGATCACCATCAAACAAGTCAGGAGATTCGAATTCCTTAATGGATTTCGAGACAGTCCCCAAGAACACTGTCACAAGTCTAGACGGACACTGAGGTCACCCCTGAAATGCAAAGCAGCTCCATGTGCCCCAAATCAAATCGAGATGAGGCCCGATTCCCTTGCGTTGACTCCAGAGCCATCCCCCGTTCCCCATAAAAAACGACCAGTGGCTTGACTTCCTTCAGGCAACTCCCGAGATGCCCCGAGAACACTGTCCCAAGTCTAGAGGAACACCAACTTCAGCACAGCAACTCGAAGAATGCAACATGCACCCCAAATCGTCTCGAGTTCAGAGCTGATTCCCTGGCTTAGGCTCAAGACGTATGCCAACTTTCCAGAAGCACCTCAGGAGGAGGCTTCTCTCAGCAATAGGTATGTGGGAGGGACCCCGAGTTTGCTGCCCCAAGTGGGATATACAGCGAGAAGCCGTAACATGAATGGAGGCCGGGTTTCCTTGCAGTGGCTTGAATACAGCTCGTCTTTCATCGCCCAATATGAAGGGATGTCTGAATCCCCTGTGGAGACCTTAGAGAAAGCCCTAGGTACCTGCCTCATTATGACGGAATGCCTCACATTCCGTTGACACCTCGAGAGGCACGCGGAGTTCACTGCTTCAAAAGGTAACGTAGCCTGACTCATGGTGAATATTGGTAGAAATCCCAAAATCTCTGTGGCTACTGGGAAAGGCCCTTGGGTGCACTGCTCACCTCGAGAAGCATCCCTCGTGCCCTGCCAGTCCTCGAAGAGATTACTGAGGTGTCCCTGGTTACTAGACAGGAGTCCTGACGTCACTGAATAAACACGAGTTTTGAAGGGCAATCCCCGCCGTAACTCGAGAACATACCGCAGGTCCCGCCGCAAATCGAAAAAAACCATGAGACTTCCCCCTAGATGTGAGATGAGGCCCGATTCCCCTGCAGTGCACGCAGAGCAATTCCGTGATCCCCATCAATCAATTCAGGAGCTTCGACTTGCTTAATGGATCTCGAGACAGTCCCCAAGACACTGTCACAAGTGTAGACTTACCCTGAGGTCACCCCTGCAACGCAAAGCAGCTCCATGTGCCCCAAATCAACTGGAGATGAGGCCCGATTCCCCTGCGTTGACCCCAGAGCCTTCCCCCGTTCCTCATTAAAAAGACCAGTGGCTTGACTTCCTTTAGGCAACTCCAGAGATGCCCCGAGAACACTGTCCCAAGTCTAGAGGAACACCAACCTCAGCACAGCAACTCGAGGAATGCTCCGTGTACCTCAAATCTTCTCGAGATCAAAGCTGATTCCCTGGCTTAGGCTCAAGACGTATGCCAACTTTCCGGAAGCACCTCAAGTGGAGGCTTCTCTCAGCAATAGGTATGTGGGAGGGACCCCGAGTTTGCTGCCTCAAGTGGAATAAACAGCGAGAAGCCCTAATTAGAAAGGAGGCTGGATTTTTTTGCAGTGGCTTGAATACAGGTTCGTCTTTCATCTCACAACATGAAGGGATGTCTGAATCTCCTGTGGAGACCTTAGAGAAAGCCCTAGGTCCCTGCCTCATTTTGACGGAATGCCTCACATCCCGTTGACACCTCGAGAGGCACGCGGAGTTCACTGCTTCAAAAGGTGACGAAGGCTGACTATTCTTGAACATTGATAGGAATCCCAAAATCCCTGTGGCTACTTGAAAGGGTCCTTGGGTGCCCTGCCTTTCCTCGAGAAGCGTCCCTTGTGGCCTGCCAAGCCTCGAAGAGATCCCTTACGTGTCCCTCCTTACTAGACAGGAGTCCTGACGTCACTGAATAAACTCGTGTTTGAAGGGCCATCCCCACCGTAACTCGTGAACATACCCCAGTTCCCCGCCGCAACTCGAGAAAAACCATGAGACTTCCCCCTAGATGTGAGTGGAGTCCGATTCTCCTGCAGTGCATGCAGAGCAATTCCGTGATCCCCATCAAACAAGTCATGAGATTCAACTTGCTTAATGGATCTCAACAGAGTCCCAAAGAACACTGTCACAAGTCTAGACGGACCCTGAGGTCACCCCAACAACGCAAAGCAGCTCCATGTGCCACAAATCAACTCGAGATGAGGCCCAATTCCCCTGCGTTGACTCCAGAGCTATTCCCCGTTCCCCATTAAACACGACCAGTGGCTTGACTTCCTTCAGGCACCTCCAGACATGCCCCGAGAACACTGTCCCAAGTCTAGAGGAACACCAACTTCAGCACAGCAACTCGAAGAATGCTTCGTGTACCCCAAATCGTCTCGAGATGAGAGCTGATTCCCTGGGTTAGGCTCAAGACGTATGCCAACTTTCCAGAAGCACCTCAAGGGGAGGCTTCTCTCAGCAATATGTATGTGGGAGGGACCCCGAGTTTGCTGCCTCAAGTGGCATATACAGCGAGAAGCCCTAACTTGAAATGAGGCCGTGTTTCCTTGCAGTGGCTTGAATACAGGCTCGTCTATCATCTCACAACATGAAGGGATGTCTGAATCCCCTGAGGAGTTCTCAGAGAAAGCCCTAGGTCCCTGCCTCATTTTGACGGAAAGCCTCACATCCCGTTGACACCTCGAGAGGCACGCGGAGTTCACTGCTTCAAAAGGTGACGATGTCTGACTCCTCTTGAATATTGATAGGAATCCCCAAAAACACTGTGGCTACTGGAAAGGGTTCTTGGGTGGCCTGACTCACCTCGAAAAGTGTCCCTTGTGGCCTGCCAAGCCTTATGAGATTCCTGAGGTGTCCCTCGTTACTAGATAGGAGTCCTGACGTCACTGAATAAACACGTGTTTTGAAGGGCCATCCCCCCGTAACTCGATAATGTACCACAGGTCCCCACCGCAACTCGAGTAAAACCATGAGACTTCCCCCTAGATGCGAGATGAGGCCCGATTCCCCTGCAGGGCCTGCAGAGCAATTCCGTGATCCCCATCCAACAAGTCAGAAGCTTCGACTTGCTTAATGGATCTCGAGACAGTCCCCAAGAACACTGTCACAAGTCTAGACGGACCCTGAGGTCACCCCTGCAATGCAAAGCAGCTCCATGTGCCCCAAATCAACTCGAGATGAGGCCCGATTCCCCTGCGTTGACTCCGGAGCCATCCGCGGTTCCCCATTAAACACGACCAGTGGCTTGACTTCCTTCAGGCAACTCCAGAGATGCCCCGAGAACACTGTCCCAAGTCTAGAGGAACACCAACTTCAGCACAGCATCTCGAAGAATGCTCCATGTACCCCAAAAGGTCTCGAGATGAGAGCTGATTCCCTGGCTTAAGCTCAAGACGTATGCCAACTTTCCAGAAGCACCTCAAGGGGAGGCTTCTTTAAGCAATAGGTATGTGGTAGGGACCCCGAGTTTGCTGCCTAAAATGGGATATACAGCGAGAAGCCCTAACTTGAAAGGAGGCCGGGTTTCCTTGCAGTGGTTTGAATACAGGCTCGTCTTTCATCTCCCAACATGAAGGGATGTCTGAATACCCTGCGGAGACCTTACAGATAGCCCTAGGTCCCTGCCTCATTATGACGGAATGCCTCACATCAAGTTGACACCTCGGGAGGCACGCAGAGTTCACTGCTTCAAAAGGTGATGATGCTTGTCTCCTCTTGAATATTGATAGGAATCCAAAAATCCCTGTGGCTACTGGAAAGGGTCCTTGGGAGCCCTTCCTCACCTCGAGAAGCATTCCTTTTGCCCTGCCAAGCCTCGAAGAGCTTCCTGAGTTGTCCCACGTTACTAGACAGGAGTCCTGATGTCACTGAATAAACATGTGATTTGAAGGGCCATCCCCGCCCTAACTCGAGAACATACCGCATATCCCCGCCGCAACTCGAGAAAAACCATGAGACTTCCCCATAGATGCGAGATGAGGCTCGATTCCCCTGCAGTGCATGCAGAGCAATTCCGTGATGCGCATCAAACAAGTCTGGATATTCGAATTCCTTAATGGATTTCCAGAGAGTCCCCAAGAACACTGTCACAAGTCTAGATGGACCCTGAGGTTACCACAGCAACGCAAAGTAGCTCCATGTGCCACAAATCAACTCGAGGTGAGGCCCGATTCCACTGCATTGACTCCAGAGCTAACCCCCGTTCCCCATTCAACACGACCAGTGGCTTGACTCCCTTCAGGCACCTCCAGAGATGCCCCGAGAACACTGTCCCAAGTCTAGAGGAACACCATCTTCAGCACAGCAACTCGTGGAATGCTCCATGTACCCCAAATCGTCTCGAGATGAGAGCTGATTCCCTGGTTTAGCCTCAAGACGTATGCCAACTTCCCAGAAGCACCTCAAGGGGAGGCTTCTTTAAGCAAAAGGTATGTGGTAGGGACCCCGAGTTTGCTGCCTCAAGTGGGATATACAGCGAGAAGCACTAACTTGAAAGGAGGCAGGGTTTCCTTGAAGTGGCTTGAATAAGGCTCGTCTTTCATCTCCCAACATGAAGGTATGTCTGAATCCCCTGTGGAGAACTTAGAGAAAGCCCTAGGTCCCTGCCTCATTATGACGGAATGCCTCACATCAAGTTGACACCTCGAGAGGCACGCAGAGTTCACTGCTTCCAAAGGTGACGATGCCTGACTCCTCTAGAATATTGATAGGAATCCCAAAATCCCTGTGGCTACTGGAAAAGGTCCTTTGGTGCACTTCCTCACTTCGAGAAGAGTCCCTTGTGCCCTGCAAACCCTCAAAGAGATTCCTGAGGTGTCCCACGTTACTAGACAGGAGTCCTGACATCACTGAATAAACATGTGTTTTGAAAGGCCATCCCCGCCGTAACTCGAGAACATACCGCATATCCCCGCCGCAACTCGAGAAAAACCATGAGACTTCCCCCTAGATGCGAGATGAGGCCCGATTCCCCTGTAGTGCAGGCAGAGCAATTCCGTGATCACCATCAAACAAGTCAGGAGATTCGAATTCCTTAATGGATTTCGAGACAGTCCCCAAGAACACTGTCACAAGTCTAGACGGACACTGAGGTCACCCCTGAAATGCAAAGCAGCTCCATGTGCCCCAAATCAACTCGAGATGAGGCCCGATTCCCTTGCGTTGACTCCAGAGCCATCCCCCGTTCCCCATAAAAAACGACCAGTGGCTTGACTTCCTTCAGGCAACTCCCGAGATGCCCCGAGAACACTGTCCCAAGTCTAGAGGAACACCAACTTCAGCACAGCAACTCGAAGAATGCAACATGCACCCCAAATCGTCTCGAGTTCAGAGCTGATTCCCTGGCTTAGGCCCAAGACGTATGCCAACTTTCCAGAAGCACCTCAGGAGGAGGCTTCTCTCAGCAATAGGTATGTGGGAGGGACCCCGAGTTTGCTGCCCCAAGTGGGATATACAGCGAGAAGCCGTAACATGAATGGAGGCCGGGTTTCCTTGCAGTGGCTTGAATACAGCTCGTCTTTCATCGCCCAATATGAAGGGATGTCTGAATCCCCTGTGGAGACCTTAGAGAAAGCCCTAGGTACCTGCCTCATTATGACGGAATGCCTCACATTCCGTTGACACCTCGAGAGGCACGCGGAGTTCACTGCTTCAAAAGGTAACGTAGCCTGACTCATGGTGAATATTGGTAGAAATCCCAAAATCTCTGTGGCTACTGGGAAAGGCCCTTGGGTGCACTGCTCACCTCGAGAAGCATCCCTCGTGCCCTGCCAGTCCTCGAAGAGATTACTGAGGTGTCCCTCGTTACTAGACAGGAGTGCTGACGTCACTGAATAAACACGAGTTTTGAAGGGCAATCCCCGCCGTAACTCGAGAACATACCGCAGGTCCCCGCCGCAAATCGAAAAAAACCATGAGACTTCCCCCTAGATGTGAGATGAGGCCCGATTCCCCTGCAGTGCACGCAGAGCAATTCTGTGATCCCCATCAATCAATTCAGGAGCTTCGACTTGCTTAATGGATCTCGAGACAGTCCCCAAGACACTGTCACAAGTGTAGACTTACCCTGAGGTCACCCCTGCAACGCAAAGCAGCTCCATGTGCCCCAAATCAACTGGAGATGAGGCCCGATTCCCCTGCGTTGACCCCAGAGCCTTCCCCCGTTCCTCATTAAAAAGACCAGTGGCTTGACTTCCTTTAGGCAACTCCAGAGATGCCCCGAGAACACTGTCCCAAGTCTAGAGGAACACCAACCTCAGCACAGCAACTCGAGGAATGCTCCGTGTACCTCAAATCTTCTCGAGATCAAAGCTGATTCCCTGGCTTAGGCTCAAGACGTATGCCAACTTTCCGGAAGCACCTCAAGTGGAGGCTTCTCTCAGCAATAGGTATGTGGGAGGGACCCCGAGTTTGCTGCCTCAAGTGGAATAAACAGCGAGAAGCCCTAATTAGAAAGGAGGCTGGATTTTTTTGCAGTGGCTTGAATACAGGTTCGTCTTTCATCTCACAACATGAAGGGATGTCTGAATCTCCTGTGGAGACCTTAGAGAAAGCCCTAGGTCCCTGCCTCATTTTGACGGAATGCCTCACATCCCGTTGACACCTCGAGAGGCACGCGGAGTTCACTGCTTCAAAAGGTGACGAAGGCTGACTATTCTTGAACATTGATAGGAATCCCAAAATCCCTGTGGCTACTTGAAAGGGTCCTTGGGTGCCCTGCCTTTCCTCGAGAAGCGTCCCTTGTGGCCTGCCAAGCCTCGAAGAGATCCCTTACGTGTCCCTCCTTACTAGACAGGAGTCCTGACGTCACTGAATAAACTCGTGTTTGAAGGGCCATCCCCACCGTAACTCGTGAACATACCCCAGTTCCCCGCCGCAACTCGAGAAAAACCATGAGACTTCCCCCTAGATGTGAGTGGAGTCCGATTCTCCTGCAGTGCATGCAGAGCAATTCCGTGATCCCCATCAAACAAGTCATGAGATTCAACTTGCTTAATGGATCTCAACAGAGTCCCGAAGAACACTGTCACAAGTCTAGACGGACCCTGAGGTCACCCCAACAACGCAAAGCAGCTCCATGTGCCACAAATCAACTCGAGATGAGGCCCAATTCCCCTGCGTTGACTCCAGAGCTATTCCCCGTTCCCCATTAAACACGACCAGTGGCTTGACTTCCTTCAGGCACCTCCAGACATGCCCCGAGAACACTGTCCCAAGTCTAGAGGAACACCAACTTCAGCACAGCAACTCGAAGAATGCCTCGTGTACCCCAAATCGTCTCGAGATGAGAGCTGATTCCCTGGGTTAGGCTCAAGACGTATGCCAACTTTCCAGAAGCACCTCAAGGGGAGGCTTCTCTCAGCAATATGTATGTGGGAGGGACCCCGAGTTTGCTGCCTCAAGTGGCATATACAGCGAGAAGCCCTAACTTGAAATGAGGCCTTGTTTCCTTGCAGTGGCTTGAATACAGGCTCGTCTATCATCTCACAACATGAAGGGATGTCTGAATCCCCTGAGGAGTTCTCAGAGAAAGCCCTAGGTCCCTGCCTCATTTTGACGGAAAGCCTCACATCCCGTTGACACCTCGAGAGGCACGCGGAGTTCACTGCTTCAAAAGGTGACGATGTCTGACTCCTCTTGAATATTGATAGGAATCCCCAAAAACACTGTGGCTACTGGAAAGGGTTCTTGGGTGGCCTGACTCACCTCGAAAAGTGTCCCTTGTGGCCTGCCAAGCCTTATGAGATTCCTGAGGTGTCCCTCGTTACTAGATAGGAGTCCTGACGTCACTGAATAAACACGTGTTTTGAAGGGCCATCCCCCCGTAACTCGATAATGTACCACAGGTCCCCACCGCAACTCGAGTAAAACCATGAGACTTCCCCATAGATGCGAGATGAGGCCCGATTCCCCTGCAGGGCCTGCAGAGCAATTCCGTGATCCCCATCCAACAAGTCAGAAGCTTCGACTTGCTTAATGGATCTCGAGACAGTCCCCAAGAACACTGTCACAAGTCTAGACGGACCCTGAGGTCAGCCCTGCAATGCAAAGCAGCTCCATGTGCCCCAAATAAACTCGAGATGAGGCCCGATTCCCCTGCGTTGACTCCGGAGCCATCCGCGGTTCCCCATTAAACACGACCAGTGGCTTGACTTCCTTCAGGCAACTCCAGAGATGCCCCGAGAACACTGTCCCAAGTCTAGAGGAACACCAACTTCAGCACAGCATCTCGAAGAATGCTCCATGTACCCCAAAAGGTCTCGAGATGAGAGCTGATTCCCTGGCTTAAGCTCAAGACGTATGCCAACTTTCCAGAAGCACCTCAAGGGGAGGCTTCTTTAAGCAATAGGTATGTGGTAGGGACCCCGAGTTTGCTGCCTAAAATGGGATATACAGCGAGAAGCCCTAACTTGAAAGGAGGCCTGGTTTCCTTGCAGTGGTTTTAATACAGGCTCGTCTTTCATCTCCCAACATGAAGGGATGTCTGAATACCCTGCGGAGACCTTACAGATAGCCCTAGGTCCCTGCCTCATTATGACGGAATGCCTCACATCAAGTTGACACCTCGGGAGGCACGCAGAGTTCACTGCTTCAAAAGGTGATGATGCCTGTCTCCTCTTGAATATTGATAGGAATCCAAAAATCCCTGTGGCTACTGGAAAGGGTCCTTGGGAGCCCTTCCTCACCTCGAGAAGCATTCCTTTTGCCCTGCCAAGCCTCGAAGAGCTTCCTGAGTTGTCCCACGTTACTAGACAGGAGTCCTGATGTCACTGAATAAACATGTGATTTGAAGGGCCATCCCCGCCCTAACTCGAGAACATACCGCATATCCCCGCCGCAACTCGAGAAAAACCATGAGACTTCCCCATAGATGCGAGATGAGGCTCGATTCCCCTGCAGTGCATGCAGAGCAATTCTGTGATGCGCATCAAACAAGTCTGGATATTCGAATTCCTTAATGGATTTCCAGAGAGTCCCCAAGAACACTGTCACAAGTCTAGATGGACCCTGAGGTTACCACAGCAACGCAAAGTAGCTCCATGTGCCACAAATCAACTCGAGGTGAGGCCCGATTCCACTGCATTGACTCCAGAGCTAACCCCCGTTCCCCATTCAACACGACCAGTGGCTTGACTCCCTTCAGGCACCTCCAGAGATGCCCCGAGAACACTGTCCCAAGTCTAGAGGAACACCAACTTCAGCACAGCAACTCGTGGAATGCTCCATGTACCCCAAATCGTTTCGAGATGAGAGCTGATTCCCTGGCTTAGCCTCAAGACGTATGCCAACTTTCCAGAAGCACCTCAAGGGGAGGCTTCTTTAAGCAAAAGGTATGTGGTAGGGACCCCGAGTTTGCTGCCTCAAGTGGGATATACAGCGAGAAGCCCTAACTTGAAAGGAGGCAGGGTTTCCTTGAAGTGGCTTGAATAAGGCTCGTCTTTCATCTCCCAACATGAAGGTATGTCTGAATCCCCTGTGGAGAACTTAGAGAAAGCCCTAGGTCCCTGCCTCATTATGACGGAATGCCTCACATCAAGTTGACACCTCGAGAGGCACGCAGAGTTCACTGCTTCCAAAGGTGACGATGCCTGACTCCTCTAGAATATTGATAGGAATCCCAAAATCCCTGTGGCTACTGGAAAAGGTCCTTTGGTGCACTTCCTCACTTCGAGAAGAGTCCCTTGTGCCCTGCAAACCCTCAAAGAGATTCCTGAGGTGTCCCACGTTACTAGACAGGAGTCCTGACATCACTGACTAAACATGTGTTTTGAAAGGCCATCCCCGCCGTAACTCGAGAACATACCGCATATCCCCGCCGCAACTCGAGAAAAACCATGAGACTTCCCCCTAGATGCGAGATGAGGCCCGATTCCCCTGTAGTGCAGGCAGAGCAATTCCGTGATCACCATCAAACAAGTCAGGAGATTCGAATTCCTTAATGGATTTCGAGACAGTCCCCAAGAACACTGTCACAAGTCTAGACGGACACTGAGGTCACCCCTGAAATGCAAAGCAGCTCCATGTGCCCCAAATCAACTCGAGATGAGGCCCGATTCCCTTGCGTTGACTCCAGAGCCATCCCCCGTTCCCCATAAAAAACGACCAGTGGCTTGACTTCCTTCAGGCAACTCCCGAGATGCCCCGAGAACACTGTCCCAAGTCTAGAGGAACACCAACTTCAGCACAGCAACTCGAAGAATGCAACATGCACCCCAAATCGTCTCGAGTTCAGAGCTGATTCCCTGGCTTAGGCTCAAGACGTATGCCAACTTTCCAGAAGCACCTCAGGAGGAGGCTTCTCTCAGCAATAGGTATGTGGGAGGGACCCCGAGTTTGCTGCCCCAAGTGGGATATACAGCGAGAAGCCGTAACATGAATGGAGGCCGGGTTTCCTTGCAGTGGCTTGAATACAGCTCGTCTTTCATCGCCCAATATGAAGGGATGTCTGAATCCCCTGTGGAGACCTTAGAGAAAGCCCTAGGTACCTGCCTCATTATGACGGAATGCCTCACATTCCGTTGACACCTCGAGAGGCACGCGGAGTTCACTGCTTCAAAAGGTAACGTAGCCTGACTCATGGTGAATATTGGTAGAAATCCCAAAATCTCTGTGGCTACTGGGAAAGGCCCTTGGGTGCACTGCTCACCTCCAGAAGCATCCCTCGTGCCCTGCCAGTCCTCGAAGAGATTACTGAGGTGTCCCTCGTTACTAGACAGGAGTCCTGACGTCACTGAATAAACACGAGTTTTGAAGGGCAATCCCCGCCGTAACTCGAGAACATACCGCAGGTCCCGCCGCAAATCGAAAAAAACCATGAGACTTCCCCCTAGATGTGAGATGAGGCCCGATTCCCCTGCAGTGCACGCAGAGCAATTCCGTGATCCCCATCAATCAATTCAGGAGCTTCGACTTGCTTAATGGATCTCGAGACAGTCCCCAAGACACTGTCACAAGTGTAGACTTACCCTGAGGTCACCCCTGCAACGCAAAGCAGCTCCATGTGCCCCAAATCAACTGGAGATGAGGCCCGATTCCCCTGCGTTGACCCCAGAGCCTTCCCCCGTTCCTCATTAAAAAGACCAGTGGCTTGACTTCCTTTAGGCAACTCCAGAGATGCCCCGAGAACACTGTCCCAAGTCTAGAGGAACACCAACCTCAGCACAGCAACTCGAGGAATGCTCCGTGTACCTCAAATCTTCTCGAGATCAAAGCTGATTCCCTGGCTTAGGCTCAAGACGTATGCCAACTTTCCGGAAGCACCTCAAGTGGAGGCTTCTCTCAGCAATAGGTATGTGGGAGGGACCCCGAGTTTGCTGCCTCAAGTGGAATAAACAGCGAGAAGCCCTAATTAGAAAGGAGGCTGGATTTTTTTGCAGTGGCTTGAATACAGGTTCGTCTTTCATCTCACAACATGAAGGGATGTCTGAATCTCCTGTGGAGACCTTAGAGAAAGCCCTAGGTCCCTGCCTCATTTTGACGGAATGCCTCACATCCCGTTGACACCTCGAGAGGCACGCGGAGTTCACTGCTTCAAAAGGTGACGAAGGCTGACTATTCTTGAACATTGATAGGAATCCCAAAATCCCTGTGGCTACTTGAAAGGGTCCTTGGGTGCCCTGTCTTTCCTCGAGAAGCGTGCCTTGTGGCCTGCCAAGCCTCGAAGAGATCCCTTACGTGTCCCTCCTTACTAGACAGGAGTCCTGACGTCACTGAATAAACTCGTGTTTGAAGGGCCATCCCCACCGTAACTCGTGAACATACCCCAGTTCCCCGCCGCAACTCGAGAAAAACCATGAGACTTCCCCCTAGATGCGAGTGGAGTCCGATTCTCCTGCAGTGCATGCAGAGCAATTCCGTGATCCCCATCAAACAAGTCATGAGATTCAACTTGCTTAATGGATCTCAACAGAGTCCCGAAGAACACTGTCACAAGTCTAGACGGACCCTGAGGTCACCCCAACAACGCAAAGCAGCTCCATGTGCCACAAATCAACTCGAGATGAGGCCCAATTCCCCTGCGTTGACTCCAGAGCTATTCCCCGTTCCCCATTAAACACGACCAGTGGCTTGACTTCCTTCAGGCACCTCCAGACATGCCCCGAGAACACTGTCCCAAGTCTAGAGGAACACCAACTTCAGCACAGCATCTCGAAGAATGCTCCATGTACCCCAAATGGTCTCGAGATGAGAGCTGATTCCCTGGCTTAAGCTCAAGACGTATGCCAACTTTCCAGAAGCACCTCAAGGGGAGGCTTCTTTAAGCAATAGGTATGTGGTAGGGACCCCGAGTTTGCTGCCTAAAATGGGATATACAGCGAGAAGCCCTAACTTGAAAGGAGGCCGGGTTTCCTTGCAGTGGTTTGAATACAGGCTCGTCTTTCATCTCCCAACATGAAGGGATGTCTGAATACCCTGCGGAGACCTTACAGATAGCCCTAGGTCCCTGCCTCATTATGACGGAATGCCTCACATCAAGTTGACACCTCGGGAGGCACGCAGAGTTCACTGCTTCAAAAGGTGATGATGCCTGTCTCCTCTTGAATATTGATAGGAATCCAAAAATCCCTGTGGCTACTGGAAAGGGTCCTTGGGAGCCCTTCCTCACCTCGAGAAGCGTCCCTTTTGCCCTGCCAAGCCTCGAAGAGCTTCCTGAGTTGTCCCACGTTACTAGACAGGAGTCCTGATGTCACTGAATAAACATGTGATTTGAAGGGCCATCCCCGCCCTAACTCGAGAACATACCGCATATCCCCGCCGCAACTCGAGAAAAACCATGAGACTTCCCCATAGATGCGAGATGAGGCTCGATTCCCCTGCAGTGCATGCAGAGCAATTCCGTGATGCGCATCAAACAAGTCTGGATATTCGAATTCCTTAATGGATTTCCAGAGAGTCCCCAAGAACACTGTCACAAGTCTAGATGGACCCTGAGGTTACCACAGCAACGCAAAGTAGCTCCATGTGCCACAAATCAACTCGAGGTGAGGCCCGATTCCACTGCATTGACTCCAGAGCTAACCCCCGTTCCCCATTCAACACGACCAGTGGCTTGACTCCCTTCAGGCACCTCCAGAGGTGCCCCGAGAACACTGTCCCAAGTCTAGAGGAACACCATCTTCAGCACAGCAACTCGTGGAATGCTCCATGTACCCCAAATCGTCTCGAGATGAGAGCTGATTCCCTGGCTTAGCCTCAAGACGTATGCCAACTTTCCAGAAGCACCTCAAGGGGAGGCTTCTTTAAGCAAAAGGTATGTGGTAGGGACCCCGAGTTTGCTGCCTCAAGTGGGATATACAGCGAGAAGCCCTAACTTGAAAGGAGGCAGGGTTTCCTTGAAGTGGCTTGAATAAGGCTCGTCTTTCATCTCCCAACATGAAGGTATGTCTGAATCCCCTGTGGAGAACTTAGAGAAAGCCCTAGGTCCCTGCCTCATTATGACGGAATGCCTCACATCAAGTTGACACCTCGAGAGGCACGCAGAGTTCACTGCTTCCAAAGGTGACGATGCCTGACTTCTCTAGAATATTGATAGGAATCCCAAAATCCCTGTGGCTACTGGAAAAGGTCCTTTGGTGCACTTCCTCACTTCGAGAAGAGTCCCTTGTGCCCTGCAAACCCTCAAAGAGATTCCTGAGGTGTCCCACGTTACTAGACAGGAGTCCTGACATCACTGAATAAACATGTGTTTTGAAAGGCCATCCCCGCCGTAACTCGAGAACATACCGCATATCCCCGCCGCAACTCGAGAAAAACCATGAGACTTCCCCCTAGATGTGAGATGAGGCCCGATTCACCTGCAGTGCATGCAGAGCAATTCCGTGATCCCCATCAATCAATTCAGGAGCTTCGACTTGCTTAATGGATCTCGAGACAGTCCCCAAGACACTGTCACAAGTGTAGACTTACCCTGAGGTCACCCCTGCAACGCAAAGCAGCTCCATGTGCCCCAAATCAACTGGAGATGAGGCCCGATTCCCCTGCGTTGACCCCAGAGCCTTCCCCCGTTCCTCATTAAAAAGACCAGTGGCTTGACTTCCTTTAGGCAACTCCAGAGATGCCCCGAGAACACTGTCCCAAGTCTCGAGGAACACCAACCTCAGCACAGCAACTCGAGGAATGCTACGTGTACCTCAAATCTTCTCGAGATCAAAGCTGATTCCCTGGCTTAGGCTCAAGACGTATGCCAACTTTCCGGAAGCACCTCAAGTGGAGGCTGCTCTCAGCAATAGGTATGTGGGAGGGACCCCGAGTTTGCTGCCTCAAGTGGAATAAACAGCGAGAAGCCCTAATTAGAAAGGAGGCTGGATTTTTTTGCAGTGGCTTGAATACAGGTTCGTCTTTCATCTCACAACATGAAGGGATGTCTGAATCTCCTGTGGAGACTTTAGAGAAAGCCCTAGGTCCCTGCCTCATTTTGACGGAATGCCTCACATCCCGTTGACACCTCGAGAGGCACGCGGAGTTCACTGCTTCAAAAGGTGACGAAGGCTGACTATTCTTGAACATTGATAGGAATCCCAAAATCCCTGTGGCTACTTGAAAGGGTCCTTGGGTGCCCTGTCTTTCCTCGAGAAGCGTGCCTTGTGGCCTGCCAAGCCTCGAAGAGATCCCTTACATGTCCCTCCTTACTAGACAGGAGTCCTGACGTCACTGAATATACTCGTGTTTGAAGGGCCATCCCCACCGTAACTCGTGAACATACCCCAGATCCCCGCCGCAACTCGAGAAAAACCATGAGACTTCCCCCCAGATGCGAGTGGAGTCCGATTCTCCTGCAGTGCATGCAGAGCAATTCCGTGATCCCCATCAAACAAGTCATGAGATTCAACTTGCTTAATGGATCTCAACAGAGTCCCGAAGAACACTGTCACAAGTCTAGACGGACCCTGAGGTCATCCCAACAACGCAAAGCAGCTCCATGTGCCACAAATCAACTCGAGATGAGGCCCAATTCCCCTGCGTTGACTCCAGAGCTATTCCCCGTTCCCCATTAAACATGACCAGTGGCTTGACTTCCTTCAGGCACCTCCAGACATGCCCCGAGAACACTGTCCCAAGTCTAGAGGAACACCAACTTCAGCACAGCATCTCGAAGAATGCTCCATGTACCCCAAATGGTCTCGAGATGAGAGCTGATTCCCTGGCTTAAGCTCAAGACGTATGCCAACTTTCCAGAAGCACCTCAAGGGGAGGCTTCTTTAAGCAATAGGTATGTGGTAGGGACCCCGAGTTTGCTGCCTAAAATGGGATATACAGCGAGAAGCCCTAACTTGAAAGGAGGCCGGGTTTCCTTGCAGTGGTTTGAATACAGGCTCGTCTTTCATCTCCCAACATGAAGGGATGTCTGAATACCCTGCGGAGACCTTACAGATAGCCCTAGGTCCCTGCCTCATTATGACGGAATGCCTCACATCAAGTTGACACCTCGGGAGGCACGCAGAGTTCACTGCTTCAAAAGGTGATGATGCCTGTCTCCTCTTGAATATTGATAGGAATCCAAAAATCCCTGTGGCTACTGGAAAGGGTCCTTGGGAGCCCTTCCTCACCTCGAGAAGCGTCCCTTTTGCCCTGCCAAGCCTCGAAGAGCTTCCTGAGTTGTCCCACGTTACTAGACAGGAGTCCTGATGTCACTGAATAAACATGTGATTTGAAGGGCCATCCCCGCCCTAACTCGAGAACATACCGCATATCCCCGCCGCAACTCGAGAAAAACCATGAGACTTCCCCATA